TGATACTTTGTCTGTAGGGGTTTTTGAGCGTGCTGATTTATGAGTATCATGCTTATTCTCCGAAAAACGCCTTATTGTGGAGTTGAAATAATTTACAGCATTTGGACAAGCATTTTTTCTCTTTGGGCCTAAATCCCAAAATTTAAAATGTATCATGCAAAATGAACACGATAATCGTGAACAGCACGCCCATAACCTCTTGTACAAAATTTCATGCAGATCTATGACTCTCTGCCACCCTACCGTAAATTCGCGGAAAAGTCCCGAAACGCAAAGAGAGCATGATATTTTCAATCAGTATGTCAAATAACCTCTCTTCAACAAATTCCAGCCAAATTTGGGATTTTGAGATTCTACTGTATACATAACTTAAATCAGAGGTCCCAAAATCCAGAAAGAGTATGGTATGGTGATCAGCATGTCGAATAGCCTCCGTGGGTCAAGGTTTAGCGAAATCGTCATTTTGAGCCCTTGCCGTATACCCACCGTAACCCCAAAAAATGGCGCTACCATACGATTTTGATGTGATATTCGGCAGTAGCGGGTCGAATGACCTTCCTGGACCGAGGTTGAGCGAAATCCACAGCTTTAAAATTTTGAGGCTCGAATACTGGAATGCTGCTGAATTGTTGCGATAGGTCTACTACGGATGTCGGACTTTATGAATAGTAGCGCGCGCTTGGACAGGCACGTGTCAGGAAGGTGCAGATCGCTGCTTCTCCTATCTCTGAATGGACGAGTTCCTGCCAATTTTAACACTGGTTCATGGCCATGTTCACTAGTTCACTAAAGCAGCTTTTTTGCTCTAAGCTGAGATGCTTGGCTCCTCAAGGATCATATTTTTTTCCTCAATTTCTGTTAACTTATGAGCTACTAATGTGTCTCGTAAGTTTCAAGAGTTTTCTTTTTTGCTTCATGCGTGACCAAGTTTTTGCGCACAGATCCAGTTTTGGAGTGTAATAACCAATCTGGAGTACCTCAGGAAATTGCCTGGACCTCATGTAGAATACTTCACGCAATTTAGTGTAAATTGACATCGGCTTGTATCGGGAAAACATGTTGTATAATGACAAGGAGAATAAGGTGAATTGAAACCTTCCAAGCATTTTCGAAAAAATTTATCAGGTTGTTCCGAAAATAGTTTTGCTTTTTTCAAACGAGCGTAACATCCCGCAAAAAACAAACACCTTCAAAAGACATTCGATGCAGCTTTTAACCTCTTTCAAAGGGTCATGATAGCATTGCAGCTTAATCAAGGAGCTCTCAGAAATTAGCAAAAACTACATACGACCCTTGTTTTTTTTGACATGATCAAATTTCGCTAATTTTCTGAATTTTTGTACCAATCACTCGGGGAAAACCAAGTGACTTCCAAATAGAGCAAACCCTACAGGATACAAAACAACTTCCTTTCCTTTCCATGACTCGACATAATTTTCGATGAAATTTTTATTGAAACTATTGGATTTTGTTACCCCTCAATCAGACGCAAACGCAACATACACTAATAATCTTTGAAATTCAAATTTTCAAAGCCAGGTGTTATAATTCTAACTCCTATTTTACGAAGTAAATTTGCATTCACGGAATCGAATAATCACATCTCGAATTTTTCGGGGACGCCCGGGTAGCTTTCGTAAACATGAATCATGATGACTTCATCTATGAACAATCTGCGAATCGGAAAACAAAAAATACAAAATGAGGAGAATAACCGCGTCAAGTGACACCCGAGCTGCTTGCCGTTTGATGTTTTACTAGGTTTGAACTGACCAAGTATGGAATTTGGTAGCACCAGATAAAATTTCATTAGAAAAACCCGACGAGTTGAAAAGAGAAGAGAATCTTTGTATCCTGCGGAAATTGCTCTATATATGTTAATAGGACGTCTTATGGTGATCGGTACAAAAATGAATAAATAAAGATGACGATCGCATAAGCGTTTCAATCTTTGCTGAATTTCCGGAGATCGTTTATTAAGTTGTAATCCAATCATAACCATTTGAGAAAGGATAACAAGCTGCATAAAAATGGATCCTTTGAAGGTGTTTGTTTTGAGGGATATTACGCTTCAAAAATGCGAAATTATTAGGTTGTCCCAAAAGGATATTCCATTTTCAAATAATTTGAACTGTCCTTGTTTTCCTGATAGACTCAAGGTACCAATATTCGATAGAGCGCAGCAAGCTCTACAAAAAGACTACCGAAGATCCACCTAAGTCTCAATGCAGGTAAAATTTGGGGCCAAAAATCACAATTTTTCAGCTACCCTAAAAATCGGATCTTCTTCCGGAAAATTCCTACGTAGTTCCAACTTAGTCTTTATATAGTAGACACATAGTAGTACCCAAAAATGTATTTGGCGGACTTTTCCCTGGGCTCAAAATGGAGGGGAAGAGGTGGTCCGAAAATGTTAAAATGCCCCTTTTTCTGATTTTTTATGTAAAACTTGGTATTTCTCGGTTATAAAAGCATATACAGGGGGTAAGAATTTGAAATTATACTTAGTAAAGCTTGTAGTATATAATGACATAAGTGGGAGGGGCTGGGTGCGAAGTTTGCCATTTTTGGACAATTTTTGTTTCTCACATTTCATGCTCGGAAAAAATTCGGTAAAGGCATATTTGAGTACTAATATGTGCCTACTGTATAATAAGTTGGAGGTCTGTAGAATTCTCTGTCGCAGATCCAATTTTTAGGTGACAAAAGTTTTTGGGTTTTGGTTTAAAACTCTTCACGGAATGCAACTTGGGCGGATCCTTGGTTGATATTGTGTAGAGCTTGATCTGCTCTATCGAATTCTACCCTAAGTTTATTGGGAAAACAAAAGCAGCTCAAATTACTTGAAAAATGACTTTACTTTTGGGACATCTAATACTTTTGAAACAATTTATTATAGCTCTACAAAATTACAGATAGTGATCGATTTAGGCCGTGGGCCTAATTCACGCGATTTCGGTCGCCACGCAATCTGGCATCTGCCAAATGTTTTCAAACTCAATACTGGCAGGCCCCAAGTGCACAGAATGTATAACTTCCGCAGGTTGACGAAATGCCCTATCGTCCCATCTTCCGTACATTCAAAAACGCCTTACGACGAGCCATGGATGACTGGAGTATTACCAAATCGCGTCGCAACTGAAATCGCGTGTGGTATACCCAGGGGCTTACTAGGCACAATACGCAAATTAAAAAGAAGCTTGCGAATTACTTCAGAGTGAAAAATGGTAACAAAAAATGGTTTTGTACAATTTACGAACTTTTGTAATCCGCTGATTCAAAGGAATTCTGACGCTTCTGAGGAATCCTTAGAACACGTGTAACGCATTTCTATGCCAGAAAACCAGGGGAGAAAGCTCAGCGCACCGCGTACGGTACCCAGCTGACGCTTGCACATGCTATCGTTCACAGAATTCCTCACCCGTTTACCTTACATCAAAAAGATTCTGTAAGACGACAAATTCTCGCAAAAAGGTCAAAGATGAAGAGATCAAAGAGCGATTGTAAGGGCATTGGCTGAAGTTGGAGCATTTTTTGTCGTACCTATATTATAATGGTTTTCTGTAACACTCCTGCTTATAGAGCAACTAGACCCAGCCATTTTATATTATTTCTACCAGCATGCTCGCTTATTTGCCTGTGCCAACTCCCAATCTAGTAAGAGAAACTTTGCAAAAAATCGACAAAATCGACATCGATCAATGACGAAAAGCAGAAAGTTGATAGAATCTAAATCGACCAATAATCTCCCGCCCCAAAGTGTATGTGTGCCAAATTTGGTCCGGATCGATTCAGAAATAAAAATCTCCTATTTGGAAGATACGTACAACAGAAAGACAGACATACACAGACATTCAACTTTATTCATACAGGTTTGCAGGTTCACTCGAAGTAAAAAACTACCAGTACAGCTTTTTCATAATTTGAAGTTTTGTAGCTGACTTTTATACATTTCTTCCCGATAATGTAATAGCTCAATCTGAAGATAAAGGTGAGAACGCTTTTGTATTATTTGTTGCAGCGTAAACTGTCACTTTTCTTCTGTTCTCCTCAAAGCTCTGCTTCTGTTCTCTTCAATTCCTTTATATAAATGTCATCCAATATAGCCAGCACTTTGAAGCAACTCTTGCCCGACTGACCAGAATTTGAGCGATTCTATTAACATAGTTGTATAGTCGAATCATTTCATATGATCATGTGTGTAATTGCACACACAGTCCATCTTTGGCGTACTTATCCTGGATTCGCAATCGCAAAAACGCAAGAGACTTACCGATTGTTATTGATTACATCAATTTGAGGTAATTAGTACCTAAAAAGAAAAAAATAGTAAGAACACATTGATAACACTTAGTTAGCTGAAGGGTTGTTTCCTCCAAGAATAAAGGATGGGAACGCCAAAGGTGGGCAGTGTGTGCAATGACACACATGATTATACGAAATGATTCGATTGTACAAGTAGAGAAACGAACACCTCAACTGGGCACCGCCTCTGCGAATTGCTAGTCCTTTTGCTTTACTATTGTACATCGTGTAAGGACCAGTAGTCCGTAGAGTACACATAATAATATTCGTTTTTTCACCCCAGCTGTGCTTGACTCTAGAAACATTTCACGCTTTCAGTCTTCTTTTGGAATGATACAGCGCGAAAGTGGTACTGAAGGTGAGTCTTTTTAACTACGGAGCAGAAATTGTGCTTGATATTAAACTGCTAATCACTGTATTGTGGAGAAAATAAAAAGTATAGTCCTTTAACTTGTTTATGAGTTCACGGACACACAAAAATATTTTCTTTCGTGTACCTTCGCTCTGGAATGTCAAGGGGATAGAAGGCGGGGCTAATCAACCCTGTATCTCTCTAACGAACGCGCTTTCTAATCAATTCCCAAGCTTGATTAGCGATCGAAGCCTCGTCTTCCACTCGAGCCTCACCTTCTACTCGAGCCTCGCCCACTAGCCACTCCTAGTGAAACAACTTGATTCTTTGTGATTCCAGTGTTCATGCTTTGTGGACAACAAATCAACATTACAAGTACAGCGAATTCCTTAGATTTCGAAATTTTTTGATTCAAGTTTTATTCACATATCCTTAGTCTGCTGGGGTAAGATGAAAAACTTTACAGCTGCTGGAAGCAATCCTGAAATCCGAAGTTGTGTTGAATTTAGCCCAAATACAATGTGTATTGAGTTAGACTACAATTCTGACATCTTTTCTCTCTCTCAATAAAATGTTCTGTTAATTAAGGTTACCTACTTTTTACTGCGTAGGACAACCTCTCACGGGCACTCGACACCTAAAAGCAGTTTTTTTATCTCGTAAATAAAGTGAATGATGCTAAGTCTGCACAGAAAAATGCGATTTAAGACAGAAATAACTCCTCAACATTAGTTTTATATCTCGGACAGTAGAAGGGATACCTCCGGAGCGAAAATGGGAGGGTCCCGGGCTCTTCCCAGCGGGGGTTTGCCACTCATGCTCCGGGGCCCCCCCATTTCACCCATTTTGGTGCTCGGGGCTCCTATAAATTTGGCGCACCCCGTAGCAGAGTTTGCGAGCCCCGGGGGGGGGCATTCGCCTGCTTGTGACGCCACCGTGAGTGGCAGACCCCCGCCATTTGCCCTCCGGAGGTATCCCTTCGACTGTCTGAGATTGCAAACGGATTCTCATCTTTACTTTCGTAGACAAGAGAATTATTGTTTGGTTAATAAACGAAATTTACCAGTTATGTCGTATAAGGCCTTTTCGAAATCCGCTCCATTGGGTTTGAAGTCTTCGGAAAGCTCATGGCAGGCTATTTCGTCCTGAGAAATAGCAACCAAATCCTTTTCCAGGCTGAAAAGCCACTCCTTCAACCTTAATCTAATTTGCTGATAAGTAAACTGATCACTCGTCTATCTTTGTTATTCCCGGCTGTTGTAGCTCTTCTAATAAATATTGCTGTAGCTGAAAAAAGCGATTCTGGTTTTGCATTTTTTGATTGTGAACAAGGCTGAGAGTTCAAAGGCAGCGTCGGGCAAAAAAGAGAAAGAAGTAGATGCAATAGCATCCATCCTGGAATTGCTCTTGCCAAAGTGGTATCACACTATCTCAGACAATCGCAAAAAATTTCCGGGCAAGCTGAGCTTCTAAAACTTCCGGGGCGGAGCTCTTGGTCCATGTGGCGTGGGCCGTGTGGCGTTGGCTCCGCCCTACTTGGCAGCTCTATTAAGGTGTTTATCCGGAAGTTCTAGAGGCTCAGTTCGCCCGGAAAGTTCTTTTGAGATTATCTGAGATTCTCTCTAGCGAACAACCGATTTAAAAGCTCTGACCCTCTCGGAGAGAGTCTTCCGTGCCCGCCCAGCCAACATCACACTACAAGCCACACTGCGCATGTCAGTAAAGGGCGTATGTCGCCGAAAAGAGACGTCCCGCGGACATCTGCAACTAATGTGCACCGCTACACATAGCATGTAGTTGCGGCTCGTGCTAGCTGTCTGTGAAGAGTGAAACTTATTGGCAATGTAGCGTTCTCTGCCCTGCCTTAGAGCCACTGCGACTCTTTTGAAGACAGTATCTCACCAGCGGACTTCGGGTACACCGGATTATTGCTGTGGACTTAAAGGTAGTGTCCGGGAAAAAAGTCGATTTTGAGATTTTGTGCTTACCCTGGCTTACTCGCTATGGTGAATCCGAAGATCCAGCGGAAGAGCGTCTTACTCAGTAGGAAAATCGGAGGTGGCGTCTTCCCCACTGATTCACGCTCTCAGTTCCGGAGCGGTTTTCTCCCTTCCTCAAGTCACAAGTTCGCGTTTGGCCCGTGGCGATATTAGGGAATCGCCGAGAAAAGCCCAAAAGCGCCCAAAGAAGCTTGGAAAAGCCCAAAACACCTAAAAAGCCGGAAAAAGCTTGAAAAAGCCCGAAAGAGCCGGAACGGAGAACGAATTGTGGTAGACTTGGACATTATTTTCATGTGCAGACGACAGAAAATGAAACAAAAAGACTCGGTTGCAAAATTAACATATACCTTAGCGTCAAAACGGAAAGGGAGTTTCGGCTCTTTCGGGCTCATTCGGGCATTTTGTGGGTTTTTCCGGGCTTTTTCGGGCTTTATTGGGTGTTTTCGGCGAAGTATGACGGGTCCCTTAGGGCGGATAGCGAAAGCCGCAAGATCGCTCCGACGCCCACCTCATGATTTCGCTGCTGCGTTAGAGCCTTTTTTCGCATTCTCGCGCTCTCCAGTATGGATTTTGGGAGAGCATGTGAATAGGCCCGGTAAGGACAAATTCTCAAAATCGACTTTTTGCCCGGACACTGCCTTTAATCAGGGAAACCCTTACTAGTCCACGCTTAAATCCCATCCGATAAGGTTTTTTCTATGCACACTAAGTCTTTACTCAGTTTACAGTCGAGTAAATTTTTCGCTTAACATAGTGTGCTTGCACAGTAGGTGAAATGCGGCAAAATTTGCGCGTAAAAAATTAGCCACATAATGTTGGCATTCTGCGCGCAAACGGAAGGCGTCACAGATGTAACTGTTTTTTCAGCGCAAATTTCACCGCATTTCACCTACAGTGCAAGCATACTATATTGAGCGGAAATCCTACTCAACTGTAGCTAAGGCTCCCGCCAGAGTGCCGAAGTAATGCCAGCGCTACGCCAGCATTTCGATCGATACACGTGCATTTCGTTGGGGCGGGGCTAGCTGACGTCCCCAACGAAATACACGTGTATCGATCGAAATGCTGGCGTAGCGCTGGCATAACTTCGGCACTCTGGCGGGAGCCTAAGAGTGGATTGGCGGGCGTTCGCCGCAACGGTTCGCGGCGTTTCGCAGCTACAGTACACACTATCGTGCTGAGGACCCATGTGTGTCCCTCTTCATCCTCCCCACTCTTTGCTTGGTAAAACGCCAACACTGCGCGCCTGCAAAGCCTCCAATAAATGCGAAAGCGCTGCCCCAGAAGAGATCGGACCTACTCCGGGTTGAACCAGACTGTAGAGAAAATCGGGCTCAAAGTGACGCGGAGCACTCGGCGCACGATGGGCGATTTGTCGGTTTTCCTATTGCGTTTCAACACGTCTTTCCAAGTGATGCCGTATTTCTTGAGGTGTTCAGTCGTGCTCAAAGCTAAAGAAGACCGTAACTCGTCCGCTCTGCTTACATGGGGCTTCGGAAAACGAGATTGCTGGGTACGTATTTAATGCGATTCAAGCCTGTGTGGAGTTGTGATCGAAGAGGCTTGAAATTCGGACAACTGCCTTGGCAGGTTCCGCAGCCATGTTTGCATCCTCCAGTTCCCCACACTCTTTTGGAGTATAAGGAAAGTAAGATTAAGAACAGAAAAGTGCAAATTTCACAAATCAACTTTTCGCCCTAATGCTACCTTTGACATTTTCTCCAAATCAAATTTGACAGCAAAATGCAGAAAGTATCACTTGTTCTATAGCGTACTTTTTTGACGAAATCCTTCGCCTCCTTGGTTTTCAATTTTTCATAATGAATATCAACCTGATCAGCTTTTTCCCTCAAATTTTTGTTGAATCCAATGATTTTGCGTGCCTCAAATTACTATGAATACTTGATTATTGCAAAGGCACATACACTTAGCAAATGAAAAGTGTTTTGAGAGGGTGAAGATTTGCTAGGGTCCATGCAATGGGCATTTTGTGCGCTAACAACCGAGTCTAACCTCAGCCTTTCCATAGTGTAGAATTGTTCTTAATATTTGTTTATGATCCTCCTCGTCGAGTCCAAGGAAATCCTCCACATAATCATAGACCCTCCCTGAAAGGTTCTGGAACCCTAAAGAATGCTATAGAATTAACATTCCCAAACCTTACATTTATCTGTTTGTTGGGCATTGACGTATGCTAGAGAAGAGAATAGGACGGCGACAGCGACGAGCATTGTCGGACAACTGACTGTCGCTGCTTCGCGCGGTTCATAAAATGACTGAAATATGTTGCTAACTAATGGCTTTGTTCACGTTGGATGACTAATTTTCATATCTTTCTTGACGTTGAGTCACATTCTCCCAAAGCGAAATGCAATATTGCATTTTGGCCTCAATGTTTTTTTTAATATCGGCAGTCACCAGCGATTTTGTAGCTGTATAGAAGACTGTTGCATGTTATGAAGCGTTATTAGTCACGACTAATATGTTTTACGAAGAAAGCAAAATGCTAAATTTCTTTTTCTTCGATCTTCACACTTGTGGATCGAAGTATTTTATTTGAAAAATTACTCAGCTTTGCTAAAGGTTTCCACTATAGATGAAGTGAATATCCTGAACTGTTCGAGCTGCTAAACTACAACACAAGCATAAAAGTGGAACAGCGCTGGCTACGTTGGTTCTGCATGAGCTTCCGAATTTTCTTTTTTGAAAATGCATTCCCATATCATTACTCAGTGGCGCTTCGAGAATATGCGAGAACAGCCTTCGGACATTACTGCCGCTTGCTTTCAAAGCGGCATTTTATTATTTCTGATTATACAAAGATACTTCGAAATAGTTCTCGGATGTTGATAAGAAATTTGAAAAGGTGAAAAAGAAGAAAGAGAAAATTTCCAAAATAAAAGAAAAGAAAGGTCGAAGTGTCGATAGAAACCATTTTGTAGAACGAAGTTCAATTTAAGTCTACAGTATGCACCGAATCAACAATCACTCTTCATTACTGTAAGATTACAGCATGAACTTCAAGAAGAATCTTAGGAAAGTGAAAGCGATTTTTGCCTTAGAAGGAAAATTAAACAAGCCAGAAACTCTTGTACCTGGACTAGCCGAAGTCGCTGATTCTAAATATGAAAGCTTCGCTGTAATGTTTTTTTCGTAACTTATTAGGTTGTTACATAAGTCTTGATACACTTTCATTTCTTACGACGATAAGTCGTGGACTCATAATTTCAATAGGACTCCAAGGTACTATTCGATAGAGCAAAACAAGCTCTACAAGATGGTATACAGAAGTTCGCACCCGCTTCGATCCACCATAAATTGCATCCAGAATCTGGTCGTACTGAAGGCTCAAAAAATCGCGAAAAATTCATATTTTCGTTTGAAAGAAACCTACGAATCTCCAACTTGCTCATAAAAATTGCACACTATACCAGACACTCATATGTACCGTTGCTGTATTTCTTCCTCATCTAGAAAACGAGAAAAGGAAAATAGTTTTTGCAAAAACGAAGCTATGCTGTTTCTATTCATGCAGCTGTATACTACAAGCCCTTAGAAGTATAACCGTAAATTTTCAGCTCTCCAGAAGCCCTAATTGTCGGAAATTATCTAATCTAGCATTGAACACTCGAGTGAGAGAAGCCAAATTTGGTATTTTTCGAAAACTAGGGCTTCTGAAAGCTGAAAATTTACGGTTATACTTCTAAGGGCTTATAGCATACAGCTACATAGATAGAAACAGCATAGCTTCGTTTTTGTAAAAACTAAAAAAATTTCCTTTTCTTGATTTCTAGATGAGGAAAAATTACAGCAACGGTACGTATGAGTGTCTGATATAGTGTGCAGTTTTGTGAGCAAGTTGGAGATTCGTAGGATTTTTTTGTACAAAGATATGAATTTTTCGCGATTTTTTGAGCCTTCAGTGCAACTCAGATTTCGGCTGCAAACTCATGGTAGATCGAAGCGAGTACGAAATTTTGCATACTATCTTGTAGAGTTTGTTTTGCTCTATCGAACGGTACTCTGGAGCCCTGTAAAGAATATGAGGTACATGACCTTATCGCCGTAAGAAGTTAAAGTGTAACAAGAATTATGTAACAACCTAATTGTCAAGTTTAAGATTAACTATTTCTCCAGTGTTCATTAGAAATGCGATTACACCATTGAAAGAGCTCAAAAAACTGGCGAAAAGTTGTGTAGTGAAATCAGTACGCATGAAATCTTGCTACACAGATTTCCAGATTTTTTGGAATTTTTTCCATCAAAAGGTCTATTCTACAGTGGCGTAATATGTTGAAAGTACACACCGTAATCTTACAGTAATGAAGAGTAGTTGACGATCCGCTCTATCTGAGTTGAACCTCGCTTTACAGAATGGTACCTTGCTTCGACAAAAGACTTGAAAGCAAGAGAGTTATTAGCTATCAAGTAGCAAGGAACCTTAGGCAATTCGGATACTTCTGTGAAGAAATCTCCGTAATTTACTTCGGAATATTTATTATTTCAACAATGCTTCTTTGGACCTCTCCTTAGTCTGTGATAAATGAACCACTTTATGAAAGTCCTCTTCGTTTTAGCTTCCCGACCTCATGCAGAGGAGAATGTTTATGCGACGTGAAAAAACTTGCAACCTGAGATTTTTTTAGCATGTTTGTGATAGCTTTCATAAAATTTCAATGTTTTGGTCATTTTCTCACAAGAAAATGCTTTTTCAGTGTGCTTGTCGCCATCTACTTGGCCAGCTTGGAAAAGTTTTTCAACGTTCTAATTCTCCTCCGTTTGAATACGCTAACATCGGATATGTCGGGTTACTTTTTGTACATTTTGTAAATTTTAGACAAAATCATTGATGACGAATTATCTTAAGGTTTCCCTGCATTCTAGATGATTTGATATATGTTTCATGCACTACTCAGGGCCCCGCATGAATGTGGCAAAAGGAACCTGTACAACAAATTCGCTTTTGCACTTATGGCATTAACAAACTCCCATTTGTTTTCACCAGCTGCTTAGGTTGTTTGATTAGAGCGCACTTTCTTTCTTAAAAGTGTTGAGATTCGTTGCTATTCCGTATCTTAACGAGGAAGAGAGGAGTTTTGGAACCAAAATGTTTCTATATACTAAACTTTAGGTGCAGAACAAATTTACGTAAAAATTTTTGAGGAACTCATAAGAACATTCTTTTTAGCGTTTTCAACTCGAACATTAAACAACCACTTCTCCTTGTTTTTCCTAGACGTACGAAATTTATTCAATGCAACCACAATTTGATTGCCTTTGAATATCAGCATGGCCTGTTTTATTTTGCTATCGAAAATCGAGATGCTTTTGCAATCGTGTACTTGAAGCAATTCTTTCCTATCGGAAATATAATGAAATTGGCTGATCAGTGATAGTTGACGAAGCGGCACAATCTTGGGAACCCTTGGAACTCTTTAAATTTTATTGCGCTGCTCGAACTCCACAGCTGGGCCGCAGTTAAAAAATTTTGAAAATTTTAGTAAAATTTCGGCTGTTGAGACTAATTTTGATTTACATTTTGTATCATTTCTTATCATGAATAAGCGCTTTGGTTTAGGAGAAGACTTTACAGGTTCTCAAGACTGTTTATCCACCAATAGAGTGGGGTAATAGGGTGCGTTTTGATTAAATATATTATGAACTCCCGTTGGGAAAAAAGGAATTAGTACCCTATTTTCAGGTGTATAAGCCGCACCCTTTTTGCTCTAAACGCGAGCAGACCCAGGCGTGCCGCTGCGCATCGCAAAACGGTCCAAATTATCAAATTGCCATGGAAATAATTGAATAGAGCCCTGTGTTTGATGAAGCAAATGCGTGATTATAAAATAACCACCAAGCATTTACTTGATTTGTCATCTAAATGGGATTTGATTGATTATGCTTATATCGATACTTGATATGGCTACTATTTTCCACTTCGATAAAACTTTGCAGAACACAAATTGCTTTGACAAGATAGTTGGTTACAAGCTTGTCTCAATGCCACTACACACCTATGTGCTATGCATAATTTGATTTTACGATCAGTTTTGATCATAAAAGTATGCAAAACTAGAGTGAATTCAAATGGTGTTAATGATGGGATTCTATCCCATAATGAAGCGCACCGACAGAGAAATTTCTTACAGATTCTAAATGGAAAAACGAAAGAAACAATTTGTGTACTTGTCAGAGATGTCAGTACCACTTTTCGCAACCACTGCGACTATAATCGCTCTCATAGTTTTTGAATTTACATTCAATTTCGCTAAGAAAAGCAATTTTTTAGCGTAAAAAATCCAGAACAGATTTAGACTTTCTTTTCTTGGCTTAGCATACGCAGAACAGGGCGTTTCGGGTAGGGGAACGAAAGCCGCCAGTTTGGGCCGCCTCCGCGGACTGCTGGTCCTGGAACGACATGCAACAACACTGCGAAAGGGCCAGTTGGCCGCGAAAGTCGGCTCAAACTGGCGGCTTTCGTTCCCCTACCCGGGCGTTTCTTGTGTCATCTTCAGAATGTGTCAATATTAACACGCTGAAACGGGTTTTTTGGTGTCTGCCCCCGTATACGAGCCGTTTCCCTGCATTTTCTTTCCTGGCTGCATGTAAGTAAGCATGCAGCTAAGCATGAAGAACAAAACTGCAAGTGGGCGGGTAGCTGGGCTTGCAAAAGGGGGCGGTGGCTTCCAGCCCCGCCCCCTTTTGCAAGCCCCGCCCATCCGACAAATTCTGGTTGCTCAAATTTCGAAATATCTTGCGAATTCCAGCATTTTGAAAAGTAGGCGGAGCTTGCCACCGAGAAACGGGGCGTACTTAATAGGGGGCGGGCAGAGGTTGAAGTCGCTTACATGAGTTATAAAAATATGCAAGTATTGGTTTGTGCTAGTAAATAATTGAAATGTTTTTTAAAATCTTTTAAAAATTTGTTTTAGTCTTAGAAAAATATTTTTTTTGGAGACGAGTGGCATAGTGGTATGAGGCGCCGCTATGACCAGATCGGACACAGATTCGATCCCCGCCCCTGGGCCAACCAAGCCCTCTACCCTCCGGGGCTGGTAAATTGGTACCAAAGTAATCTGGGAGGATAAAAGCACTGACTTGGAAACGGCTGGCCCCCGCAAGTCACTGTAATAGGCTCGCACGCATACAATTGTCTCTTCGACCATGAAGTTAGTGTGTGCGTTCGGCGCATGCCCTCAGAGGGTATTGAAGACGCCGAATCCTTTATCCTTTATTTTATCCTAAAAATATTTTTTCGGGGGCGTGGACGCCGCCTTCTTCTAAGATTTTGGGGTTATGGGTCCGCAAAAATTTTAGGAAGCAAACCAAAAATTTTTTCGGAATGCGTGGCTGAGCCACGCACCTTTATCAGAAAAGTTTAGATAGTAAATCTCTAGACTAATGTATAGAAAATTTTTTTAAAACTAACGCTTTTATCTTCTATAAACTCATCAACTTCAATGAGCAAACCAACCGTTAGCAACGCGATTTTTTTCGTCTTCTGGCTTTTCAGAGTTTTCAAAACATAATCTAGTAGTGCGTTACAAAGAAATGCATGCTGTAAGGAATGTATGCTCGTAACCATCGGAATGTCAAAAATCTAAAACTTCATAACCTCCATAAACTAATTTCAAAGAGTGCTTGAGTGATCATCGTCTTGAAATCCAGAGATTTCATTTCACAAATCCCGTGCACCTTTAAATGAAAAAATTGTCGAAACTTGGGGAATCCGAATGAACAAAAAAATTTACTGTGAAATTGTAGCTGTTAGAATGGGCGGAAGATCTTCATCAAGTAAATGCTGTCGACTTATTACTTTGTGTTGTCAGGCCAACAGAGGTTTTCACATCAATGTGACACCTTCCAAGTGCCAATTTTTTGTTCTGGTATTTTTGCCTGTTCGTTGCAGTTTCTTTTGTCATTCCTGTCATCCTGTGGCACTTATTCCCATGAACTTTATTGTGTTCTGTAGATTTCATCCCACGAAAAGCACTAATATGAAGACTATGTATCGAATTAGAGAAAATAGGTTGTTAATCCGAAGGCTGATAGCCCGGTGTTAAAAAACCTTTGTCATTATCGCATTGTCTCATTGTTTTCTTTTTCGAATTCCTTCCCCACCTTCGCTTTTCTTCCCTAAACAGAGTTCCAATTTTGTTCTATGTGCAAATGACACAAATGTTTACAAAAATATAGGCTGCTGCATGACGAAGGCGCAAAATCTTCGGGCGCGAACGCGGCTTTATTAGCCGCAGCGCGCATGAGGTGCGGGATCTACAACGGTGAGGATACGCGCGCGTCGCGTTCGCGCCCGCTCAACTAATGCCATTGCGCCTTCGTCATGCAGCAGTCTTTAGTTAAAAAGCGACTCTACAAAGACAAAGATCGTGATTGCTTCAGAATCGATTTTTTCGAAGGATAATCTTCCATAATCTATTATACTTACCAAAATCTTTGAGGAACTCTCCAAACCCTTTGTAAACTTTGCACAATTCATCGCGAGCCTTCTTGCTTAAAGATTCCACGAATGGTTTTAACCTGAAAACTGAATTTCTTGACAAGTGCCCTCTGTATTTTTCAACACTAAAAATATACTTAGAAAAATTGCATTTCCCTTCCACTGTTCTCTCGTCAAACAAGAGCTTATTGAACTGAAAAAGATGCGTTGAATATATATTGAACAACGCTACAAAATTATTCGTCCAAATGTCGTTTAGTTTAAATCCAAGGCTCGGCACGAGGTGGCTAGTTGAAAATGCAAAAAACGAAGTCCCTTTGACTTTTGCGAATTTTTACGAAGTCCCCTTTGACCCTAGACCAGGGCTGGGCACGAGGTGGCGTCCCGAAACTGCAAAAAATGAAGTCCCTTTTGACTTCAATGAAATTACGACATCCGCCACGAGATATTCGAAGCGAAAATACATGAGAAGGAACGGAACAAAGCAAAGCAGAAAAAAAAACGAAAAAGGCAGCAATACGCGCCTAGAGCAGCCTTTCCGCCGCCGCTCAAAATTTTCAAGGGGCTATAACTAAGCGGGGAGAAGGGGGTTTGAGGCGGTTTAGGAACCAGTTTGTAGGGTTCGGGATGTAGATGAAAAGTATGTAAAGAAAGTGGAAAAATTATGTGAGGGAGGAAAAATTTATGACTTTTCTTTCCTAAGTTACCTCAGGTGGCTATCCAGGTGGCTTGAAAGCCACCTAACTCCGAGAAAAGTTGAGCACGCCTTCAGGTCACATAATTTTTTCATAATTTTTCATACTTAGTTCTAACTCCCCATTGCCCATCTACACACCTATTTTGGTGTCATTTCATCTTCACTTCACTGTAAACAAACCTTTTGTTTATTTGCTAGCGGCATGCCGGCAGCGTGCCGGCCGCAGATCGAAAGACAACGTTATTCTCTTCCGCAAAAACGATATCCCCTTTGCTTTTTACCCAAAAACGATATCCAGCTTGCTTGCTAAGCCACCTGTGCCGTGCCCTGGTTTAGATCTACTTTGGTGGAAAAGTTTAACTATGTTGTTGCTTCCTACATTCTGCACAAACTTCTTTGATTCCGGGCTTAGATGATTCCAAACATCATATGCAGAATCCATTTTTCTGGTAAGTTTTGGGTTGTACGCAATGTAATGGGGTGCCTGAAATAGCTTACAGTACATGGTCGTTCCGATTTTGCCTACTTACAAATCAAATTTTACTTCTTTTCCAAAACTATAGACAGCATAAGCCATCAGGTTGTAATCCTCGTCAGTCCAATTAAATATTTTTTTGTAGTAATGATAAACAGTATGCGCTGTAAGAGTGATTTTCGAGACATAGAAAAGTCGACAAATTTTGGTTACCTTTACTGTCGACAAAGGGTAGGAAGAATAGTGCGACTATGGCAAGGGCAAACATCATTGCACAGACGGCTTCCTCTACCCTAAGCCGTTCTTAAAAGGCTCGCATGGCGTCAATGCTTTAAAAGGAAGGCAAATCGATGTATTGCTGCCACATTGCAATTTACATTTTTAGAATCACCATATCTTAACACCCAAACGAGTTGGAAAACGATAAGATAGACTGAATATAATTGGAGTTTAGTAAGAACGTTATCACACATCAAACATCCTCTTACCAAACGGCAATTATTAGGCACCAAATCAGGGCCCACTAAAGTGGTACATGTGTAGGTTGCATTCGCTCGGGGCTAAAAAGCAAAAGGACTATCGTTTATATTATAATTGGAAAATTGTTAAAACATACCGAAGTATGACCAGCCGTTGGAACTTTTTGAGAAGGCAACTTGCTACTTTTCCGTTTTCTGGGCCCATTCTTTTCGAGAAAAAAAGAGAATATTGCTCTGTTTCTTTTACCATTTTGTTCTCAGCATTACTGTGGAAGTGTCAAACTCCTGCTACGTGCCAAAGTGCATGTCACATACTGGGTTCTTCCGAAAGTTTTGTTCGTAATTGCCTTGTTTCGCATCTAGTTTCTTGGTTTTGCCATTATTGTGGTATTACACACACCTTCTTAGAGGCATTCTCTGTCTCTTTTCAATGCTTGATAATGATGAGACAGTTTTCCAATGATGAAATTTCAAGCCCTGGAGCTGAGGTGCCAAAATGCTCATGAAAACTTTATGAAGAGAACTTTCGCAGTATTTGTAAACCTACCTATATAATATATTATATTATAACGAGTGAAGATTACGCACACTTTTACCCCCCATGTAAAAAGTTTCATTCCTCAAGTTTTTTTGGAAATCGAACAATCCCTTGATGGGATATTTAGCTATTTTGTTTTTGATATTACAAGCGACAACAGTTTACGTAAAGCGACAAATGATGTAAACATTAGCTAAAAAGCTAAGAACAAGCAGGCCTTAATGACTCCGTTAGCATTGTAGATATTCCTCCTCCCAGTCTTGAAAAACAACTAATTCGTAATCACTCTTACGATCGACTGTGCATGAATATCGATTGTGTCGTATGCCCATTTGGTCAACCAGGCGATTGCATGGAGGCAGGAGTAGTTTATCAAATAACTTGTCAAACTTGCGGTAAAGAGTACATAGGAGAGACTGGCAGGTTTCTTTGTGTAAGAATCAAAGAGCACCTAGATGGTCTTGTAAAATCTAAACCGAACACTCCCCTAGGCGCACATCGCAGAGAGTAGCACTCGGATCAACAATTTAATATAGCCGTCACAATCTTAACGCGTGAACCCGAAATAATTCCTCGTAAAACGCTAGAAGCATTTTGGATAACATCCAAAGCTCTTGCAATGAACCGCAAAGAAGAGGGCGTTGCCATGAATAGTGATCTAATCGCATATCATTCCCTTTGCGGATTTGATCTACACTAAGATTAGATTCATCTATATAAGGCACTTGTACTAGTCTCTACTACTACTGACTGTGCAGACGCTGTGTTTAGTGGTGGCTCGACCCCGATTCGAAGACAGCCGAACGACGGTTTCCGTCACGGCTTTTAGCCTGGCTTGATGTCGAATGTAACCTTGGCTTGAACGAGGTGTTCGGGAGAACAAACCACTAATGTGACGACCTTCCAGGCTCCGACGAAGGTGAAGGCACCGAAACGTTAGCCTGATTGAATAAAGCGTGCTATAATCTTGGTGATCGGCTCAAGTAAACATATACAGATGTAAACATTATTGCACACTTGAGTAAAACGAGAGCAAACAGGGACCATTAGCCAATCAGCTTTTTTTCGTTTGTGAATACAGAAAAAACCAAGTACCAGGAAGTCTTCATGCTTGTCGCGGAGAAAAGCCCAAATAATGGCTTTTTTGATTTCCTTGTAAAATTTTCTATGTAGCAAAGACAACTTGAATTTTCTTTAGCAAAATTTTTTTGATGTATGGGCTACTCAATAATGATAGTCGAATATATCTGCCTATCCTTATAAAAAACATTAGTATGCCAAATAAAAGGGCCTTTGAGAAGACCTTGCGAAATTTTCAAATCTTCTCTTCTCACTCGCCTTCTTCACATAGCATACTGATCTCTAATTTCTAGCAAAATTTTTGAAAAAAGTCATGACATTTTGAAGTAAAATTCTGCCAATTGGGTACTTTCGAAACAATCCAGTATACGTTTAAAAGCCTAACACGAGTCTTGTTTACCTATATGATAACAAAAACTTCCATTTCTTGATTAAAATTCCATCTGCAACACAAAAACTTAAGAAATTAGCAACAACATCATAAGCGACATCCGGTAAGCAAATGAACATATCAGATTTGCGCAGAGCAAAGAATAGCTAAGGTTCCATCATTAGCGGAAAAACGCTTTAGTAATGTAGCTCACGCCATCATCCGCATTTCTTCCTGGCTGCGTGGAAGGATTAAATGATGAAAAAAAATATAATCAGTTCGACGTGTCCATCGAAAACCATTCCGGTGAGGTGCGAGAGCTTTGAAGAGGCCCGGAAAACCAGCTGTTTTTAAGCTCCAAGTTTCCTTAGGAAGCGTAAAAGTACTCCTATAGAGGTTTCATTGCCTAAAAAGGATATGGTTTTTGGGCCTTTTCAAAAGCCCTTGGAATCTCAGAATCTCACCGGAAATGGTTTCCAAAGAACAGGTCACACTAAATTTAACGTGCTGCTAATTTTTCCTCTAAAAACTGAGAGCTAGATAATTCTGACCGAATTTATGAAAAATTCTATCTGGGCTAGGATAGCTCCTGAAAAAAGGCTGATAACGGATAATTACTGGGAATTCTACGACCCAAATCGGCACTATTGAGTTACCCATAAGGCCAACGGCAGAACTAGTGCTAATTTGCTTACCTCTGACCCATAACCAACCCGGGGGATCAGGGAGCAGGGAGAGAAAATTTACAGATTATTGAAATATGTTACAGTTACAAACTTGCTTTTACTATGCCATCACTAGCAATGATAGGCCGAAACATGTCAGTGGCTCCGACAACTTTATCTAACATCGATAAGACATGTGAGACATATGTTTTAAACATCTGATGATGTGAGGCGACTGAAACAACTGAATCATATGCGAATTAATTTTTGTGATCTGATTTGGTGAACAAAACCCATCATATTGGATAAATTGGCGGCACTCTGGGTTAGCTTAGGATTACCATAATTTACGGGCGGAGTGGCCGCATATGTAACTAACAAGGGAAGGATGCTTGGTCGAAGTGCAGTTTCCATATGAGATGTATACTGTCTTATAGAGCATGGAACGTTGATTCCAAACTGCTTTTATTGTTTGCAAAGCGCTTCTGGGCTTGAAATCATGAGAAATTTTTGAGACAAAATTTCATGATTTTGGCTAAAGTAAAACAAGTGTTATGGTTTTTCAGGTGCTTGGATGGAGTAACGACTAGCTCAAGTTTATAAGGCTGAAGGTATTAGCTGCACGAAGCGCCTTGGCACTAATCATAACTCCGTCCGAGTTTACAGACTATACTTTTGAATGATCTTATTGTAGCTGACCCTTGAAGTTTTTGAGACAAAAAAAGATGCGTAACTCCCTCCCATAAGCGCTTTTCAAATGATCAAAGCAGATTCGGAATTAACGTTCCGTGTCTATAAGACTGTACACATTTCCTATGGAAACGCCACTTGAGCAAGTATCCTTTCCTTGTAAGTGTCGCTTTAATCTTACATGGATAGGGGACTATATCTTGCCAGAAGTGGAAGGGCCCGCCGGACATGTGCAACAAGTACACACCCAGTATATGCCAATGCTGAGTATCTGCTGCATTGACCGCGAGGGACTCTCCCACTTCCGGCAAGATTACCTCTACCCATCTTACATGTTTATGCCGAAGTTGAAAGCATATCCTTCAAGGTAGCTTACGTGTTAACTGTAAATTGGGCAAAACGGCAAAACGACTCTTTTCTTTTAATCTGCTAATAATGTAGTGATAAGCAGCAGATTTCCATACAGCAATTTAGGTGCTGTTCAGCTTTCTGCGTCGGGCATGACAACCTTTCTCAGAAACTGACTTGTATAGGGAAGCATCCGTGAGATGTGCTATCGCATTACAGTCTAAGTTTTGGGGCACTACCGAAAACCCACGGTCTTCACCGCTGATGGACAAACCCACTGTGCCATTAATATTGGCTCGCATAGTTTAGCTCTACTGTTTACTCAAGAATTTTCTAGTTTGGCGCCTAAACTTGTTCGCTTTCCTTAACGCCAATGGGTAGAATGCGGAACTTTTATTCTAAGCTTTACTACTTCACTCTCGCGCGGTTCAATCTGTTTGTAACACCATTGTGGAAAGGTATTGCGAATAGTCTTTTTTTTAGGTACAATTGTTAGCATGTTCTCACTCCTTGCTTTGTTCGAGTCTCTAGGCTTGCTTGTGCATCCAACTATCATTCGACCGGTTCCAACATTGATCGAATTAAGTGAGAAGTTAAAATCTATGAAGGCATGTATTATACATATTATAGCCCCTTACGATTTATGGCCGCCGCCACTCCTTTCGGACAAATATTCATAGCCAGGCAAGAACTAAATGGATGGTGTGAACAAGCACATAGACGTTAAAAGCGCCTTAGAAAGTGACGTTCACGTCAATATCACGCAAGACATAATACCAAAAAGCATTTAGTCCTGTTTAAATGTTTGATGTAGCTGTGTCCGATGATTAGATACACGCAAAAAGAGCAAGAATGTCTTAGGTGCTGCCTGAGAAGTATATGAGGGGGATGTTATACATGCTTGCCAGTAAAAGTTCGACCAGTCTTTTACTCAAAGACATCCAATCATATAAGGGAATATCGGTCCTTATAAAATACAAGAGACGACCCTAAAGGCAGCGTCCAGGCAGATCTGAACACATGGGATCTCACTGGAAAGATTCTGGGCAGTTAAGACGCTGCCCAAGCGGCAGCGCAGATGTCATGCAGTCGAGATACAGTGCTGGACATACTCATAGAGACACTCTAGAAATCGTCGTAATTTTCGTTCTTGTCAGTGAATCTGTCTGAAACTTTGCTGTATGGTGC